ATAGTTGCAGACTTGTAATTATAATAAATTTTGAATTCAAACTAGGAAGAATCTGCAATTAAGGGTGATTCAGACCGTGAAGATAGAAATGGAAAACATGACAGTGTAATTAACTTTTGAATTTTTTGTTCATTTAAAGCATTGGTTTTTCTTTAATTTTCTAGGCTGATGTTTGTGGTTATGGTCCAGATTGTTGGTTGTTTTAATTTGTCCACAGGAATGCAAAACATGGATTAGAGTTCTGTTAGGTGTTATGGTTTCCATAGGGTTTGATTGCTGTATTTGTAGGCCATCCATTGGCCTTGAAACACCTAACAAAATGCTCATCGAACAAGCAAAAAGCAATTGGGAAGGCACTGTCACCAAGAAAAATTAAGAATGATTCTGGTATGTTCCCTGAATCTCAAGCATTTGAGCGTGGTCTTTTTCAATTTTTATTCTTTTGTTAATTAGTACAATAAGCATGGTCTTATGGTAAAACTAACTAAGATTCTTCCTTTAAATATTATTGGACCATAAGGTTTTAATTTCTTGGAGGTGCTCAATTTCAGTCAGCTGGGAGAATGATAGGATGTTGATCAGTCTATAATACCTTGAGTAGGTAAATTGCTTCTAAGTTCCATTTGTTTCAAAGAATGGCAACTGATGCAAAGTTGCTCATGGACTTCCAATTTGTAGGTCACTTTCTGTTGAGTTGTCATCCACTAAGCTGTACCACAGACTCTAGGGACATCTCAACTCATAGTGACTCTAACTCCTTGAAAGTCTGTTTTGAGTAGAATTATGATTAAGCTTGAAATTCATTTAAAATAGACATGCTTTTCTATAATTCTTCTTATTTCTCATTTCCATTATCAATGCTACTTGATGATGCTCTTGTAATTAACATCAAAGTTCTCATGTTGTAACAAATGAATACAAGGAAATCAAGATGAAAACAGAAAGTGTCAACCATGACAACCAGTAGCTAACAATGGAGATAAATGGTATGGTATTGTAGACCCAGTGGTGGCGAACGTGATTTGCTCGATATGTTTTTTGTCTTGAAATGGTGATGAAGAGATTTGAACCCACTTTCCAACATAGGTCACATCTCTCCTGACAATTCAGCCAACACCAGCAGTGTCATTTGCGCTGGCAACCCAGTGATGATATGGCAAGTCTCCGAAGTGAAGAAATTTCATCCAGATCAATCAATGCAAAGTGGAAGATGCATAAATATTTAAGGCGATCAAGTGAGATATTCTGTCAAATTAGTTGCTAACTAACAGACATGAAATGTGTGGAAGGCCAAGTTAAACTTGCTAATGTTGTCTTGAATTTTGATTGCAACAACGGATGCATTTGCTATTGAGTACAAAAGAGCGATGTGAGATTGGGTGTATTGGGAAGCTTCTGTCGAAGCTAGGGTCGAGATTGTAACAGTTGTATCCATTTCTTTACATTGTAAAGTTTCTATTCGGCTCTTCCAATGAAATTTTGTAATTGTTCTTTTATCGTTCTTTCATCATCTCTTTTTGTATCAAAAGAGTTGAGAACGTGAAAATTGCACCAAATTGGAATTAATGTTTGTACTTCAACCCAAAAAGTTATCTTCAATGAATGAAGATTGTGATGTTCCCCGAGCAAGTACAAAATACCTGGTTATTTTTCGTAAGTATATGTAGGAGCTGAAAACAAGAAGTGCAAGTTCAGTACTCCGGTTGCAGGGGCAATAATCACAAGAATTGAAATTACTCATAATCTCGGTATATTCAGGCAGGCACCAGCTTTACTGCATGCCAGAAATGCTTAAAGAGTACAAAGTGTCATAAATGAAGAAAAGATAACAGGACACAAAATTAGATAAGGTTAGTAACTAAAATTAAGTTTTTTTCTGCCTCTTTATTCTCTCAAGGGCTCCTAGACGGCTCTCACTTTCCCCATCTTTGGCTGGTGCAGTATCATCATCCCATCTCTATCACTTCCACGTTTCAGAGGAAAACAAAAAAAATAAAAACAAAACAACAGCAACAACAACGATTGGGAAAGTCACTTGGGCTTAGAAACCTTGGTCAGAACAGCTACTTATCCATTTTGAGAGGTCCAATTTTCGGAAGCCAATCCGGCCCAAATTAATTTAATGCAAAAGAAAAGAAGAAAAAAATGGTTAATGGTGTAAATGAATTCG